CCCTAAACCCTAAACCCTTTGCTTTACAGCTCAGAGGGCCGACCTCCTCAGGTCTTATGAAAGAGACAGCGGCCTAAAGACTTACCAAGTCGAGTCCTTCGGGTTCCTTTTATAATATACGGGGTGGTTGTCAAAATTATGGGTCTGTTATTATAATACGGCACCTATTATTNNTAATTTTGACAACTACCCATATGTAGTAGCTATTTATCATGTGCAATCTATCCCCGAAATCCTATTCTAATCGCCATGAAATCCTACCCTAACCCTCCCCAGGTACCTACGACTCTATAGGGCCTTATAAGGGGCTCTAGTGCCCTATATAGTAGGTACCTGGGGGGTTAGGGCTACGTTCCATCTGGCTTAAGGCTTTGAGTCGTAGAGTTTGGACGAATGCAGCTGCTTGATGGCGAGGTTCTTCTGAACGGCACAGGGTTTAGGGTTTATAAGTGTTTATAGGGTTTAAGGCTTAGGGCTTATAAGGCTTAGGGTTTACAGTTTAGGGTTTAAGGTTTAGGGTTTAAGGTTTAGGGTTTGCAGTTCAGGGTTCGATACACTTGATACCACTCCATCCGAAACCCCATACGCAGGAAGTTCGAGACAAGGATTTTTGTTAGCTTCTGCCACAAGCGCTTTGTTACATACAGCTGTAAGATGACTTTACTTGAACGCTACCTTCCCCAACCGGAGCTTTCCCTAGCTTACTCCAAAGCCCCAAACCCGAATCCCTAGTAAAACCTTAACCCTATGAACCGCCCCTAAACCCTAAAGCCTAAACCCTATAAACCTATAAACCCCAAACCCCAATCCCTCAAAGGGGGCCCTGAACCCGAGCTAGATCCGCCTCAGGTAAGAAGATGCTGTACCAGGACATGTTGGGTTTAACCCTAAACCCTAAACCCTAAACCCTAGGTTTAGGGTTTAGGGTTTAGGGTTTAGGGTTATTTAAAGTTTAGGGTTTGGGGCTGCCAGCCGGGGCAGGGTTTTCTGACCGCAGGATGAATTTCGGGATTTTCAGGGGTTGGGTTTCTTCGGGCTCGTTTTTAATCTTGAGGGATGAGGCTGCTAGGCCTTAGGTTTTGGCACTGCGGTCATGTAGCTACGCCGCCCGCTATGCACCCCAAGCCCAAAATCCGAGGGCCCAGAACGGATTCCAATATTGAACCAGTCCAAAACGCCAGAAAAGGTGGTTGCGGTGGTCGGTGGGCCAGGGTGCCCTTGAAGAAGTTGCGCGGTGGTCTCGGTCCCTCAGCGCTCTGGGCCCGTGTGAGTTCGGAGACTTCAGATTCCAGACCTCAATCCCAGCCATCCCTGTGCCATGGGCACCCCCCCGGCAGTGTTGGCCTCTTAGCAAGGGAGAACAATTCTCAGGACGCCAACCGCCTGGTCACCAATGTCCTAAGCTGGGGCCACATGCCAAGACAACAGCCTGTTCAACGTCCACCAACATGCACACGGCACCGGCAGGAAATCAGGGGGGGGGAGTCTTCTCAGCCAAACGGCAACTCCTGTGAGTTGCTGTGGAACTGCCCTGGGCAAGAACGGCACATAACATCATGCATAGAACCGTGTGAGACTCCAAACACCTTCGTGCTGGTTCAAACACCCGCCCCTCTAGTGATCATGGGAGTTTCACGAAAGAAAGGATACGACTGGTAATGTGGATCCTAACCGGTACCACCCGTAGCATAAGGGCACCCAAGTATGTGAACTCCTCTTTGTAAGAACCCCCTGCATGGCTTCAGCACGAGACGCTCAGTGAGCTCTACGACGAGTTCTGGAACTGCGGGTGTATGGGGCTTCAAGACTAGACTGCTTGGGGCTTAGAGCTTGGGATTTAGGGTTTGGAGTTAGATTCTTTAGGGTTTAGGGTTTAGGGTTTCGAGGTCTGCTGTAGCGGTGTATGATTTATAGGGTTTACTACCCAGTCGTGCCCTGTTTCGACGATCTTGCTGCGAGCACTGCTCCCTCTCTCTACATGCATGTTCGCAAACCCCAAACCCCGAAACCTAAACCCAAAACCCCTAGACCTCAAAAGCCTTAAACGCCAAACCCTAATCCTCAAAAACCACAGTCCCAAACCCAAGGGCCCTATGAGCTCTCCTAAGCCCTGAACCTCAAAAACCGCTAAACCCTAAATCCAAAAGGCCCTAAAAAAGTCCCACAAGCCCCTGAAGGCGCGTAATCGGGGGGACCCCCTTCTCGCCGACTTCTTGGTGGGCTTCGTGGAGGCTAAAGGTCTCGAGTTGACCCTCGAGGTGCTTCTTCTTAACCACTATAGGGTTTAGGGTTTAGGGTTTAGCGTAAGGGAAGAAGTGCTTGTTTTAAGTGTTAAGATAATCATAACCCTTATATGCTTCCAGGGACCTTTTCTGGTGTCCTGAAGGGGTCTAGGGCCACAACTATACCGTCCTTGCAAGCAGAGGGTAAGTAAGGGAACAAGTAAATAGATAGGTACAATACTATAGCTAAGACTGGTTCAGCAAATATGTAAGGAAACAAGTAAATTAATAGCCGAGAAAGCAAGTAAGTAATCATTAAGTCGGCGATGACCCACATCATGCATCATAGTACATACGAACCACTCCAGGAAGCAACAACAAATGAGTAGGTGTGACTATGAAGCTTGCTAGTACATGTTCCTTCTGTGTTGCCATGATTGCTTTGTGATTGTGTTCCTTGGGTATGGATATTCGTCTTGAAAGATTTCTCATGCTTCTTGCATGGGTTTAGGGTTTCAGGGTTTGGGTTTCTTGGTGGAAAGACGAACAGCTTGACGCTAGAACTACGACGCAGTACAACGTACTACAAGCTACATCTAGAGTTGGCACAGCGTTCTATTTTTTCCTGAGGGGCGGGTTGCACGTGCGCCTGCGGCCTGGGAGAAATGGGTAGCAGAGCTTTCGATTATGTTTTTCAACTGAGGCACATACTTCATGTTGGGAGAAGAAATGGCGGATTCAGAGTATGTAGACCGCGGCCGGAGAGTTTGACGCAGAGAAGCAGAAGCGTTGCTTGCATGTGACTCTCCTATATTTCTGAACTCGCCTCTATTTACTCTGTTTGGCTTCTTCACCATCTGTGCATGTGAGGGTCCTTGCAGCAAGCACGGAACACATCGCCACTGCTCAATCCCTACAGACTATAGACCTAGACCAATCTTCTATCCCCTTCGTGAAAAGGATCGGCACGAAGCCTTTCTCTAAGGGTCCATGTACCCAAATAGTATATAATTTGGCCCCTAAGTACCTTAAGGCCAAAGTATCTACTAGTTGGGTACATGGACCCTTATGGTTTGGTTCATACTGATTTTCAGGGACTTTGGACGCCTCTTTACGGACAGGATGGAGAATCCTGGGCCAAGCTGATGGAGTGCGAGGAGGAGCCGGGCTCCCAGTGAAGGGCAGTTAAGGGGGTTTAAGCCTTAGATAACCCTAAGGGTCCATGTACCCAAATGGGAGTTTCAGAAAATTAGGGTACCTTATTTTGGGGTCCTTATAATAGGGATCCTATTATTTAGGGTACTATATTAGGGTCCCCTATTTTCGGCAACCCCCAAATATGTGATACTTTGGCCTTAAAGCAGTCCTATTTGGGACCTTTGGGGCCAAAGTATCTACTATTTGGGCACATGGACCCTTAGGGTAAGTCCCCGAAACTCTGGTGTGGCTATGGGAACCCAGAGGTTCGCTTCAGGGCTGTCGGATGTAGGTGAGGGGAGCTGGGGATAGAGGCCAAGTTAGGGGCTTCATTTTCTCAGCTTTAAAGTTTAATGTGGTTATCGCAAGGTCGTAAGGACACAAGGGGAGCATTATGGGGTTTGGCTGGGACCAGGTCGTCTGGAACTGTAGGTATTTCGGGCTCAACCCTACATCCCAAACTCCTAGCTGTCCTAACCTGTTCGGAACTCTCCGGCAGGCACCTGTTTAAAACAAAGACAAGTATTGTAAGGACGCTGCAACGGGCAAAGGTGTTGAACAGCCCGTGTGGATTTGGCATGACCCTGAAACTTTCTTTCATCTTGGCATAGAAGTTTGAGGGCTGAGCAGCTTGCAAACCTGACCAATGTTTGATAGCGTCAAAATCACAGACACATTCCCCGCATCGTTTGCCCAGGTTCCTGATGAACCTGGCGGCTGCGACGCCGGGCCATGCAGTAGTAAGGCGTGAGCAGCATTAATGTAGGGGCCTAGATAATTACCTATACTTATTTTGCGGGTTCCTTCTTCTGATTATAATATAATATACCGCAACACTCTATTCTATTTATAAAGGCCCCTACATTATCTTTGTCTGAGGGTCGACGAAGGGCTCTTGAATTCCTTACGCGATATGGGTTTCAGGGAACCGCCCTATAGCATAAACCGAAGAAGACTGTTGTGATTGTCTTTGCGTCCACGGGCGCGATTCGTCGGAATGCAAGACACACCGGACACGAGCATTCCGGGTGTGAGAAGTGAATCAATCGAGAGCGCACATCTGGATCTGTGATCTGCTCAATATAGGGGCCTTCATAATTACCTATATGTTTCCTTAGGTTCCTTATGAATCTGAAGGTTATAGTCGAATATACCCCGAAACCTTATTCTAATTGTTAAGGCCTCTCATCATGCAGGGAATCGTGGTGCGGTTGCTAGTTTGAGCTACAAGCCTACATCGTCGACCCACAGCCCCTGCCTCTGAGAACCCATAACGCCGTAGATGCGAAACCATGAGCTCCCAAGGAGAAGAGAGAGATAACTTACACCCGATCCCAGGATGCTTCAAATCCTTAGATCGGTTCCAGTCAGTTTTCGCGTTGTTTTTAAAAGGGTCGACATATGATCTACCCTCCTGTTCTCAGAGAATATTACGTTAGATACCCTGTTCGGACACCCCTCCCTGAAGAAGCCCATTCCTGACCGTGCCTGCACTAACGAACCCTCCCTAAACACTTAACCCCCAAATCATCCCAACCCCTTACTCCCCAAACTTCAAAACCCCTAGCCCCTAAACCCAAAACCCCTAAATAATAAACCCTAACCCCCCAAACCCTAAAACCCTAAACCCCTAAAACGCTGAACCCCGAATCCCGAACCTCAAAAACCCCAAACCCCCAACACCCGAAATCCCCAGCTCCCAGGAAAATCGAAGTGCCAGAAGATCTGAACTCACCGCTCCTAGGGCGCCTGCAGGAACTGGGCACCTGTTGGGATTCTGGGTTCTTTAAACCCCAAGGGCCTCCAAGGGCCCAAAGGACCCAATAATCAAGTACTTAGGTTTTAGAGTTTAGGGTTTAGTAACCCCAAGGGTCTAAAGGACCCAGAGATCAGGTACCTAGGGTTCGGATAGTGGTTATGTAGGTTACTGTGAGAGTAGGGAAGCTCCGGGTCCCAGTTCAAAGGGGGTTCCTTTAGAGGGCTCCTTTGAGGGAGCTGTGGGGATCTGTAGGGTTTACGCGCATTTCGGGATAGGTTGGCTAGAAGTAGAGCTCCTCATATAAAGGAGCCGTTTTAGGATTTAGGGTTCAGGGGTTTAGGGGTTAGGGTCCACTTCGAGGCTCACAGGAAGGATATGAATGTTATTTTTCTGAATCTCTCTCTACCTTTGCATTGTACATGGTAAAGAAGCAGCATAGACGCCTACATTTCTGACCAGGCACTGGAACTCAAGCAGTGCTGATGCCAGCCAGCGGCTTTGGCCGCTCTGGGTTTAAATATAAGATCTATATGGGTAGTTCTCTAAGTGAGGGTCCCTCTTTAGGTCCCCGGACCCTTATACAAAGGACCCCCAAAAAGGGACCCGATTTTAGAGAACTACCCATAGCCATATCCTTTGGAAACCGTAAGTAGTCAACCCTCTGGGCCGACAGGGTTCATTGAGACCGTCAACTAGTATGAATCCTTGGTCCTTGCTATATAAGGGCATCTAATATAGGTGCCTGCAGCATGAGACTAGGGTTTTTGGGGCCCATTATGCTATAGTTATAATAAGGACCCCCCCCAACAAAATAGTATATGCTGAATTAGGGTCCATCGCCTCTGACACGCTCCGTCTCAGAAGCCGTCAATGGCTCCTTTTCGTCAGTACGCTTTGCCACCTTGCTACGAACTGTCTGCCTGATTCTAAGCCCGACCATGCACTGCGGTTGATGAGATAACTCCAGCATTACCGCATAATAATAAGGAATATACCATAATCCCCACAGCTTGGGACCCTTAAGGTAATATGCAGGATTAATATCATCAACAGTATCAAATACTGTTGTAACCGCAACCCCACTCCCGAAAAGACCAAAAAATGCCAGCAGGAGTTCTTAGCTGCTGGTCCGCCGCGGAAGGGTCTTACCGGAGACAGCCCTTGGGGGCGATGATCGCTTTGACCGAGCATGGGAAAACAATGCTTCACGGTTTAGGGTTTAGGGTTTAGGGTTTAGGGCTTATGTTGCCGGGTGAAGGGGTTTAAGGCGCAGCCTGAGCCGCTTAGGGTTTAGGGTTGTGTGCCTGATTTCCTTCACGGCTGGTTCTGGTTCTCGGGGAAAGTTTGTCATTCCTATCACGTTGACAATGTTGAATCTGAATCTTTGCAATTGTTTGCGCCCCTGTCTCTTCACTTCTGCAAGATGCTTCGAGTTTGAGAAGCGACGGCTACAGGGCTCGAGTCCCAAATAGCAGACCATCTTCAAATTTGCTCGTCGCAAGTTTACACTTGACCCGTGACGTCTGCAGACGCAGAAGGTGTACAGACTCAGCAACTCCGAAAGTCCATAGTCAGCAGCGTAGTTTCACCACAGTCTCTTCGTACATCTCAGTATTCCTGAACACCTGTAATATTCAAAACCCTGAACTGAAAAGCAAACATGCTAATCCCGGACCTGCATCGGTATATAAGCCTGTAGCGACTATATAGGCCATAAACCTTAAACTCTATACCTTAAACCCTACATATATATATATATATACAAATGCATATGTATGTATGTGTGTATATATATATATATATGTATATACATGTAGATTTACATGCAATAAGCCAACCCCACATCCCCTGTTTTGGCAGGCTCCAGCACTTCGTCCTTGCGCACCACTTCAGATTGCTCTGGTTGGGTCTCGGCAGCTTGGTGCGGGTGCCCGGCAGACCAGGCGCCATAGGGCCGTTTAGGGCTGTGGGCTTTAAGGTGCCGGGTTTAGGGTGTAGGGTTTGGTTGGGCTTTCACAGATCAATGAAAGTGCTGCAGTTTTGGGATTAAGGGGTTGAGGGTGTGGCGATTGAGGTCCTTTCGACTTTACGGGAAGTTTAGGGTTCGGGGAGTACGGCTTTAGGATTTCCGGGTTTGCGGTTGGGAGGCCTGGGGATTCTTCCTGAAGCCCCTCCTGTAACTGTAAGCCGGAAAGCCGCATGAGCTTTTCGGCATGTAGCTCGGGTCATTGAGAGATGTATTTTCTTGTGCTAGCTGCCTATAACAACAACATACTATATATTATGTACTATACTGTACAACAAAACTATATTGTCATATAATATGATGGCTACAATACTTGTGTTCCCTTGGAGTCGGAACAGCATCGTGCCCCAAGCCTTTCAAAGCTCCCTACCGACTCCTGAGCATGAAGCCATGAAAAATATCGAGTTAGGTTCAGACTGTCAGTGTGTAGGGTGTAAGGTTTAGGGCTTAAGGTTTAGGGTTTAGAGTTTAAGGTTTAGGGTTTATGGTTGAAGGCTTTGGGTTTAGGGTTCAGGGTTTAATGTTAAGGGTTTAGGCTTTAAGGTTGAAGGTTTAGGTGTTTAGGGTTTTGACCCGAGGCCAGTAGTGCACGCGCAATGGAAACTCTTCTTTTCACTTCCAAGAAACGAACATAAAGCCGTTGAGTCTGCCAGTCTGTGCCTGCCCATCTATCCATCTATCTATCTATCTATCTATCTATCTACCTATCCACCTGTCTATCTATCTATCTGTCTATCTACCCATCTATTTATTTGTCTATTTGTCTCTCGATCTGTGTGTTTTCTCTGGCTGTGTATGCACATCTCCATGTGTGCATGCATGCGCGGTTGGAAGGATCAATGCAATTACGTACATAGCAGATGCCGTGATTCCCCGGAAGGGTTCTAGGTAGTCAATCAAATGTGTGTCGAGTATCTAAAGCTAGTGAAACGTAGAAAGAAGCTACATGCATGCATGTGTGCATGTATGCACGTGTATGTGCGCATGTAGGTTTGTATTCCATCTGTGTCGTGCCGTGTGATGTAAGTGAAACGGAGTGTGACAGATACAGAAACTACTGAGGCGTTGGTCATATTTCTCATTGAGCAGTTGAATACAAACAACACATAAGTTGCAGGTACAGGGGATACCCTAAACCCTAGAAGCCGTCCCTACCGATGTGCTCATGTAGGTTACCCTAAACCCTAAACCCTAAACTCTAAACCCTAAACCCTAAACCCTAAACCCTAAACCCTAAACCCTAACTGTATGCTTTACCACGCCAAGGCTGAGTTGCTCAACCGGCTGTCGGGCACTCTGCACCGGTCTACGGACGGTGGGCTCCGTGCTGAAGGAAGTGGCAGGCACTGGTTCTCGGGGTTATAACTTATAACTAATAATTTAAGAATATAGCATAATCTGATCTAAACATAAAAAATTTTCTACAATAACCTAATACAAAAATGTTCATATAATCTGGTATTATATTATCCTCTAGAATTACACTAGTATACAGTATACACTATACAATACAGATTTCAGGCCAGAGGCGGCTTAGCAGGCGTCCGGTTGCAGCCGAGAGACCCCTGTATCGGGAAGTTGAAACATGGGAAGAATTTTTGAGACCTGTGGGAAGGGATCAAAGGAGTTCGGAATGTTCTTTAGGGTCTTCGAATCTAAACCCTAAACCCTAAACCCTAGACAAAAAAGAAAAAAAAACCTAGACCATAAAGCTAACGGCGATGCAGGCAGGCAGGGGGAGTCCTCGGGCTTCTTGGGCTTGGAGAACCCCTGGTTTGAGAGACGACAGAGCATCCCCTTGGACATCTTAGACCTAGCACCCAAACACAGATCTAGCAGCTAGATTCTCCATCGCTAGAATCCTCAACCCAAAGTCCTAAAGCCCTGGAGCCTATAATGAGATCCTAAACCCGCAGTCTTAAAGCCCTGCGGGACCTAAAGGCCTTGTGGGGGCCCGGCTGTCTCCCGGTCCAGGCACTTCCGTGCGCCACGTCACCGAGCTGGTGCCCTCGTCGGCGCTGGAGACTCCCATGGAGCCCATAGGCCTGCCCTTGGGGCGTAGGGGCCTTAATAGTTAGAATGGGGTTTCGGGATATATTATACTACAATTATAATAACGAGCCCCCCAAAACCTATCCTAACATTTTAAGGCCCCGACATTAGAAGGGTTTAAGGCTGAAAGCTCGAGCGGTTTGAGGGTTTAGGGTTTTAGGGGTTTTAGGTGTTTTGCAGGCTTAGGATCTTAAGGGTTTAGGCTCTTGGGGGTCAAGGCGCCTTTAGGATCTATAGGTTTTGAGGACATAGAATAGGCAGCTGCCCATGCTTTTGGCAGCATTTGGGGCCTTTCATTACGAGGTTAGCCGGTTTGGGGCGTACAGGGTTTGGGTTTCGACTGTGGAGATTGTGCCAGGCAAGTGTGCCATTTCAAGTCCACTTGGTACACAGAGGCAGTACGAAAACAGCTGCCGTTCTAAAGCCCTAGTCAGCAACAGCCTGATACATTTGCGGTAATTAGTATAAACACAGTTATAGAGCGGCAAAAGCGGGATACTACGATGAAGAACCTGGCAATGTGATATAACGAAAAGCAGTTCATGAAGTTAGAGACATATGGCCCTTAACCTGGAACTAAAAATGACCATGAGCCCTTCAACCCCTGAGCAGACTGAAATCCTGAAGCATCCCGAACTCAACCATGAAGTCTACAAGCTGAACGTACACCCAGAGATCCCAATACTCCTTAATTAAGGAACATACCTTAAATTGTAGGGGCCTTAATATTCTGATTTAAGGTATATTTCTTATTTAAAGGGTATTGGGTTCTCGGGGCAGGGCCTTCAACCCTGCTTTAAACCAAAAACCCCGAGGTCCGCGATCCCAAACCCCTGAACCCTAAGGGTCCATGTACTCATATAGCATATACATGGGCCCTAAAGTACCTATATAGGGACTACATTAAGGAAAATGTATATACTATATGAGCACATGGACGCTTAGGGGGAACCCTAAACCCTAAACCCTAAACCCTAAACCCTAAACCCTAAACCCTAAACCCCTAAAACCTGAACCCCTCAACCCCTAAGCCCTGAACCCCTAAACCCCTAAACCCAAAACCCTAAAACCCCTAAACCCTAAACCCCCCTGAACCCTATGCAAGGCACGCCCTTCGGTGGCCTCTTCCCGGTCGAGGCGCGGCAAGTCTCCCTCGCGTCGCACGCGCCCGAGGCCGGCGTCTGCTTGATTGGGGTGTAGGTTTGGGGCCTGAGGGTTTAGGGTTGAGGGGTTTAGGGTTTAGGTTTTGGGCTTGAGGGTTTTCGGGTCTATAGGAAATTGTGGGCTTTTGAGGTTTTTGATTTTAGACCTTAGGCCTCAGGCTGTTTATGGTTTGTGATTTAAGGCTTGATTTTAGTGCGTATAGGGCCTACAGGGTATATTTATACTTGAGGGTTTTGGGTTTTGGGCTGGGGATTTACAGTCGAGGTCGAGGGGTTGGGATTTCGACGGGCTTCACCTAGAACCCCAAATCCTGTAGCAAAGACTTCACATTCAAACCTTCAGAAGAGCAAGATATTACACAGGTGCATATGCCACATGCTTTTGTTACATTTATATAATAATAGGCATGCTCGCGCGAGCGCGGGTGTGTATGTGTGTGTTAGTTTCATGATGCGCATTCCTGTGCACATGCATGTCTAGAAGCATATCTATACATATGTGTAGGTATATATATATATATATGTACATACACACATATGCTGTGCGTCTAAGCATGTATGTATGTTGTATGTGACATGTATGTATGTATGTATGTATGTACGTACGTACGTACATACGTATGTATGTATGTAGGTATGTATGTATGTATGTATGTATGTATGTATGTATGCATGTGTGTGTGTGTATGGATACATGTAGGTATGTATTTACGTATGCACTGCACTGCACTGCACTGCACTGCACTGCACTGCGCTGCACTGCACTGCACTGCACTGCACTGCACTGCACTGCACTGCACTGCACTGCACTGCACTGCCCTGCACTCACTGCACTCACTGCACTGCACTGCAC